ACTTTCCCTCAGAAACAGGCGCCAGCAACCAACCCCAAAAGACAATAGGAGGATAAAATCATGCAGAGCATGACCCTGCTGTGCCTTCAAAAGAGCACTATTGGAAAGCTTGAGCAATGCTATTCGACAGGGAGTTGCTGGATACACTGTTTTCATGTTGGAGAAAGGAGAGAGATAATGAAGTCAAGAATACTATAATAGCATATGGAAACCTGGAGCAACGATAACCTGGCAGCCTGCAGTAAGATTTGTACTAAACTATCCAATCTGGGGAAGACATTTCAGTGAATTTTAAAGCATATCTGCCATGACATTTTACACCAGTGACACTTAGTGAAAATACACACAGCCACTGAACCTGTTTCCGTAGATGACTGAGAATACTGATAACGATGCAGCTGTAGCTACAACAGAACACTTTATACGCTTGCAATGTATAAGGATCTTGCAAGAAAATTCTCAAGAAGTTAATCAGAAACACGATTGTTTTCAGGAACATACATAGCTCTGATCTAAAAGCGACAATGTTGATATATTGTGTGGTATGGAAGCTTGCATTGGTGCCTGCCAGTTTCACCTTGAGAGACAGAGAGAGAAGGACGGCACAGGAACCAAATGATGTTTTTTTGATTTTACCATTAAATCAGCACCTGGTAGTTTTTAAAGTCTGGTATGTTTAAGTTTGCTTTTATATTTAAGCTTTATTTATATGATGTGTGGCGCACATCAAAGATGATGTCTATTTTGAAATAATATACTTCATAAGCAGCTACTGAAGCCTGATGATGTGCTTGTGTATTCCTCATATTCTTGTACAAGGAACAGAAAATAAAATCTCTATTCTTTTGACTCTACTGCCCAGTCAGAGCTTGTTTACAAAAATCCTACTAAACATGTTTAGGCCAAGTATTTTTGTACGACTCACTATCACCACAACAAATAGCTGTGTTTTAATCTATTTTCTACCGTCAAATAGATTTGCACCAGAGCAATACTTAAATTCCTGCACTAGCTCTGTCTCGTGAAAGTACCCAGACCTTTATTCAAATAACTTCATGAGCCTACTTCCCAGAACAGTTGTGTTTCCATGAAACTATGACACACACAAACACGCAAAAAGAAACTGTCACAGGAATCAGATTAAATTCTGTAAGAAAGTGAATGACTAAAGAATTTACTGTTTTCAGAAAAAAATAGTTAGATTTACTCAGGATATTTCACCCCCCTCCTGAACAACTTATCAGTGTATATAAACATGCTAAATAACAAAGCACGCTTAGAAGCAGGTGTTTAATACTGGGGAAGAAGTCCACTATCATAATAGGAGAACCTGGAAAAAGATTTCAACAAAAGAATTCAAGAACAAACTTGAACGTGAAAGAAGCTGTTCATGCATAGATTCAGCACAGGAAAAGTAGCAAAAGCACGAGCGGAAAAAAAAAAGTGGTGCATGAAAACCATTACTGGCAGAAAGAGAAGAGATTCAGAAATTTATTAAGTATTAAAAAATGAAAGTTGCACATGATCTCCAAAAAGCCAGGGAAGAGAGTTTGTTATAACATTTTTCTTAAATTAACCATAGATTAACAATGGGCAGCCCCAAGAGTTGACCTGCAAGAGCAGATCTTTCTGAAAAGAGAAGACCATGCCAGATAACCAAAGGTGGGGGAACAGACTACACCACATTTCTGCATCTGCTGCCAACCTTAACATCACCACTTCCACCTGAACCAAGCACATTCCTCCATCCTTGTTCCCTGGCTCTGTTTATTCGTTCCATCTGAAGGAGAAAACAATACAGGAAAACATAATTCAAGGAATCACTAGGTAAAAACTGAACTTCACTATTAACACATTTTAAACGTATTTTACCCTTTCTTTTTCCAATCTTCTAATTTCATCTGCCTTCAGCAAACTCATCTGCAACGTGTAAGGATTAAACATGTTTAGTAACTGGGAAATTGAACTACTCCGTATTCTTATGCAACATACAACACACCACACCACAAGATATTTCATTAAAGTTATGATGGATGGAAAAAGAAAGTCTCAAGAATCTTGTCTACCTGATCTCTCTGGCGTTTTTCTCTTTCAGGCAATTCTAACCTTTTCTTTTTTGAAGGTTCCTGAAAAATAAACATATAATTTGGTATTTATTACTGAGCCATTATTCTGCCAAGTTAGGTTAGTGCTCCAGTTGCTGGTGTATGTCCACGAAGATTAAAAAAAATAAAATAATTAAAAAGCACTGTTACATAATGTTTGGGAAAAAAGATAAGGAGGAAAGGTTTGAAGGTTTTATTTTGTCATTCTTGTTCTGCACCTAGCTTTTGCTTAGTTTGAAAATTAACAGATGATTTCATGATACCTCAAACATTTTCCTCCTTTCTTCTCCTGGATTCATTTTCTTCACTGGAGTTGGAAAGGCCTGGATAAAAGGTGAAACTTCAAATTAGATACCATAATGCTAAAGTGAGAGAAAAATTCTAATCAGAAAAAGAAAAATCTTAAACCCACAACTTAGTAGGTGAAAATGTGGTTTAAAATAATTAATTACTCAAGAGGTTTTAAATGAAAAGCACTGCTAGGATCTAGGACTAAATGCTATTGTAGTTGTTCATCCTCTATTAAAAGCACTGTCTGAAAACTGAAGGCAGTAATTTTAAAATCTGTTTTGTCTTAATTTTTCTTCTCTGGCAACACCATTCTGCATTACAATCTGTTCCTATTATAAGTATTTGAGGGTCCCCAGATATTAAGATTCTCTTTTATTTGGAGAACAGTTTTATTAGGTTAGCCTTAGGCTCTTTCACTCGGGTAACTCTAACCAAGGTTCTTGTTACCTATGGAAGAGGACAATGCAGCCACTATTGAATACCTGGTAAAGAAGCTCCTATATGTAATAAACCATGCTGCTCGCTCCAGCCTTCCCCAAAAAAGTGATGGTTACTTTTAAAGCATATTTTTTTCTGATCATACTAGAACACAGAGAGCTTCATAGTATTTTCTTTTGACCATGTAAAATCCTATCAAATGACTACTTTAAAATCAAGTACTTCAGAAGACGGAAACCGTTAGAGACTTAAGTCAATGTAGTTCAACTACAGTGAGTTAATGTAATACCACTAAACAAAGGAGATGATGATAACATGCTCCTCTGAGAAGTCAGTTGAGAGCTGCAAGCTCAGACTACCCTGGAACAACAGCAAAGAGAAAAAAAATGTACATTACACTGTAGCCATTGTTTCTATTCTACATCTTATCCCTTATCTCTAGGTACAATCCACGCAACGAATATGTCTTAAAATTGCAGCGTTACTGACTCCTTACATGCAGCAAGAGAATACTTCCCTGCCACTTTGAGCCTCTCTGCAAGCTGGATCGGCATTGGCTGGTGAAAGTGATTATAAAGAGCAACAGATTAGCAAATGGTCATACAACCAGCCTTAAAACACAAAAACCTCATGATCTCATAAGGACACACAAGCAGTCTGTGTGTTCCCTTCTTCTTGCTCTCTTTTTCAAACTGTGTATCATCAGCCAACAAGGCTTGCATGATCAATGAGTATTTCCTTAAACTTCTGATAACTTTTGAACCTCAAGGATAAGTTATATCTCAGGGATAATTTTCTATCCACCTAAAAAAGAATTTCACATAATAAGAAGTACAGAGAAGATGACTGGAAGAAAGATCAGAAGTACTGTATGAAGTCATACAGACGACTATTTCTCATTAGCTCATGGAATTAAGTCTGGGAAGCTCGTCTTCCAATTACACAATTTCTCTGGCTGACAACACTTTAGAAAATGACTAAAAAAACCCTTTTCTATGTTTTGAAAATTTGAGATTATTTTTGAACAAGGAAGAAAGATGCAAAGATTCTTATCCAGTGTCGATGATCTTGGTATACCTGACAGACTTCCAATGTTTCTAAGAGTGGTCAACACCAACAAAGGAACTGAAAACATGCAAAGCACATCTAATTTAGCAGTGGAATTAAAACCTAAACCTAAGGTAGCAGTCTCCAAAAAATCATTATATTAAAACCAACTAAACTAAAAAATCAATAATGAAGCAAGCCAAGCATCTAAACTAGTACTACTTTATCTGCAGATACTTGTGTCCACATAAAAGACATTTTGAAAAGGAATGCATAGATTTTCATAGCATTTAAATAAGGTATGAGCAAAACAGTTAAATTTAAGTAACTTAGCTTCTTACCTGTCTAGATTTAGCCAATGGCTTCTTCTCATTAGGCTTTTTAGGTGCATCACAAGATTTCCTGATCACTAAAGGCACTCCATATTTTGCAGCAGGTTTAGTAATTTTCTGAGCTGGTGCAACTGAAGTCAGTATTTGTTCTTGAGCTGGTCTTTTAGCTAAAAAGAAAAAAACCCCTGTTTTACAGCTATTCAGGCTGGCCAGTGTACCATATTTCCCTTTCCCAAGGTCTTGGAACAGCAAAGCTAGAGGAAAATGAGTGAACTACTAACATATCATTCTCATGAGCTGATGCATAAGTGCAACATACCCAGTTGTCCAAAACAGCTTGTCTAAATTTCATGCGTGATAAGAAACAGCAGAACACAATCCCAGAACTTTTCACTCTCAACACTTCACTTTAAACTAGAGAACTGAAGCTTATTTCAGCTGCCATGCTTTATTATCCAGTTGTCGTGGACACAGGGAAAAGTTTTCCTAATGGAATGGAGAGACAGGCCTCCCTCTACTAATGACACTGGACAGCAACTTGCAACACTTATGTCAGCAGAAGATGAGTTCTGGAAGAGCTTCCATGGCCTTCAGGGATATTGTTTTCCCCATAGAGTTCTTGAAAATATGCCAATATTGTGGATTTGATTCTGTGCTAGCAGGGCTCTCTTACTACAGAATAGCGGGACAGCAGTGAAACACTTAACACTATCAAAACACACCAAAGCACTTGCCACAGCTTCAAATTACAAGGAAGTGAAATAAAGAAAAGGGAAGAACATCTAGGAAAAAAAGTGTAAAATAATGCAGGAAAATGAAGTAAGGTAAGACCATCTTGACCAAGTGAAACACAATCTAATTTGCTACCGCTAGTACAAATTCTACTGCTTTGGGCTGAAGTCAGGGCTTAATATTGGAATATCTAACAAAACCTCCCACGTTTTTACAAGAAATGGTATTTCTCATTATCCATTTGTCATTAGTAAGGGAAAAAAAAAATTGTACAATAATAACTTATAAATTATTTCCAGTATTTGCAGTCTTCACTGTCTCCTTACATTTTGGAAGCATAGCATACTGCAGGAGGAAAAAGTACACCTAAAATACTACAGGACCATAGTTCATACTTGCATCATTTCTATCCTACACAGATCCAGCTCCCCAAGGAGAGGGGAAAATTGCTTCCCTCTCTTTTCCTGAAACTTCTGGAGTCAGGTATAAGGACACACCAAAACCAATAAAAGAACAAAGCTACATACACTACCTTGCCAGAGCTGAAAGCAAAAGCACTTTACACACTTAATTACCTGGTGCAGCATGTGGTCCAAACTTCTGGAAGATTTTGTGATTGAATTCTTCTGCAATAAGCTAAAGAAAAAGTTGAAAAGTTAGCCAACAGTATTTATGCATGAAGCTAAAAAGAACTTTTCAGAGAAGTGTGCCGCTCCCACTAAGCATCTAATTAATAGTATTTAAGAATTAATTTAAATGAATACTCAACTTTATGTATTCAATTTAGTGGCACTAACATTAATATGAAGCTGGATTATGTATTTTCAAATATTATCGGCATAACTACTCAAATAGTCTTAAAAAAGCAATTAGTCTGACTCCTGGGTGGCACATGTTACCTTGTTTACGAACTAGCTAAGAATCTAGAAGAATTTTAACGTGAGCATCAACACTGTTTTATGCATAGCTCATCTTAGATTTCTGTATAGTTGCCAAATTTCACTTCAAATGCTCAGCCAGCTTGTGTCAAAAAACAGTCCTTTAGCAATATTTGCAGCTTTTTCTTTTCAAGATGGGAAGATGACTACATATGTGGATATCTAGGAATGACATACACTGTGTGCTGTCAGGCATATCAAATTAGCATAATGAAATGTGGAAAACAGCCTTACTGGAGTAAAAAAAATAATTTGGAGTCTAGACAAAGAACATTCAAACATGAATAGGCCATCATCTCACATCATAATGAATACTGTATGCAGTTTTGAACTCAACACTTCAAAAACTATGAAGTAAAACCAAAAAAGGTTCAAAGAAGAACAGCAAGGATAATTAAAAGTGTTGAAAAGCTTCAGTACGAAGAATAAATAAGCTTTCTCTTCAGCCTATAAAAAGATGACTGAGATGTAATGTCACAGGTCTAGAATACCACGTGATTTTGCAGAGAAACACACAAGGTCAGCAAATGATAATACCAACATAAGAAGAGAGTTACCATTGCACACAAGGAGGAAGGTTTAGAATAAACAAAGGTGATGCTTTCTGCAACAAGTAGCAGACCTTTGAAATTTCTTACTGATTATACACAGGTTCATGGAGAAATCAGATAAGCTATGGATGAGAAATCTATTGAGGATGACTAAATATCAAAGATGATGCTTCCTGAGCTGATGCAATTGAGACAACAAAGGATGAAGGCTGGGAGACTATTACAGGGTAATGTCATGTAGGTTTGCCTCGTTCTCATACACCTCACCAGGCACTGTTTATGGCCAGTGTTGACTGCCCACAGGATATGGAGGGAGACTTGACTTTTAGCAGAGCCAGCACCATGTTCTCATTTTCTAACAGCCTGCTCTCACACTTCTTGCTGAATCTGAGTGCGGCAACTGGTGCTACCAACACAGAACATTCAAAGGATGGGAACTGCAAAGGTACTTTTTACAACAGTAGAGCTACTTGCAGACAAATAGTGGCCATACTACAGACCACCTTTCTAGAGACGGAGCATGCCAGGAATGTGTTACTTAACATTCTGACAACTGACAACAATGTTAACTCAATAGTCACTAAATCACAAGGTTTTAAGGAATAGTCTTTATAGAATCTTGACATATTCAGATTATTTTGATTTGCTTAGAGGCTACCAGTCAGTTACAATGGATGCTGAGGAGTTAAAACGGGGCGGGGGGGAGTGTGCCAGGAACGTGTTACTTAACATTCTGACAACTGACAACGTTAACTCAATAGTCACTAAATCACAAGGTTTTAAGGAATAGTCTTTATAGAATCTTGACATATTCAGATTATTTTGATTTGCTTAGAGGCTACCAGTCAGTTACAATGGATGCTGAGGAGTTAAAACGGGGCGGGGGGGAGTGCAGAACGTAGGACTCTGCACACAATGGCAGAGAAACTTTTTAACCTGTACAGTCTGTCATTAAAAAATTCTATAAGCAAGAAGTCACACATGAGAACGGTCTCCTACTAATGGCAACTAATGTTGAAGCTTTAGTTTGGGTGGTAAGCTGTAACAACTGACATGTGATGTTTCCATGATAACACAACTACTGACAGAAAAGAAACATGACTCTTCAGTACCTTTCAAAAAGCCCTCCCCTTTTTTTTTTTAAATTGATGCTAATT